AAAAAAAATAGCTTAAATAAACATATTTATATTAACACCTTTCATTTGAACATCATGTCCTTATTTTATTCCACATCAACTACTTTGAGTCATGGCACCCCAAGCGATGCTATAAAAGGGCCAGCTCAGAAACCCAAAGGAGATTCACTTTGGGCGGGTTGAAGCCCCTGTCCCTACGATGCCAGGACAGGTCGCGGACTTCCGTACGTACGTTTTTAACCCAAGACCACCGGGGGTGCGACGACGCCCCGCAATGGCCAATTTCCTAACCATATCCTATTGGTGATTCAATCAGTCAATCCAATTCTGGTCCCGCCTAATTAGACTAGGTGGCCTATTTCTCATATATTATTCGTAATCTACAATATTCACCAATAACATAAGTTTAATTTAAATCTCAGTTCACAATTCGCAACAAATCACGTAGCGGCCTATCCGGGCCGAAGACCCACGATTACCGTCATGAATAATCAAGAAACTGAATTACAATTAACCCAACTTACCTGCGCGGAATCGAGACTCAGGAATCAATCCTCGGGCCTGCTGCCCCCGCCGGAGCAGTCCCCATCGTCACCGGAACAACCCCAGCACCCCCGCCGGTAGCCTCCCCGGCTGCCCAAACCCAAAGCCAGACCAAACAGCCCCGATGGGTGATTCACAGCAACCCGAACAGTACATCAATTAACCCAAAATAGTTCAATCACATCCAATTGCACCCAATTGAATCCAAATAGCCCAATTGAACCCGTTTGGACCCAATTAGACCGAATTGGACCCAATTAGTTCCAATTGGATCCAATTTGTCCAAATCTAGATGCTGCCCTATTCCGGCCACCTCGCCGCCGCCGTTGCCGGCGGTCGCCGGAGGAGATGACGGAAAACAGCCCCCCCAACACAAATTTCATAATTTCAACACAACATTCACAATTCTCATTCAAATTGAAAGATTATACGCTAAGGAAGTTCTAATCTACGAATTAATGCTAGCAAAAGGTATAGAAACCACAAATCACCTCGAAAAACGACGAATTGAACTTGAATCGGAGTGAATTCGCCGCTGCAACTCTTCCCTGGTTTACACTTCCTAACTGGTTAGGATAAATTTAGGCCCAATTACCTCATTCGGCAGTCGTATCTTGGGCCCTGTAAGTCCGATTCTCAATCCATTTGTGTGGTCGGGTTCAGAACAGAGTGTCGTACAACGTAGGTCAACCCTCATATTAATTATGCAAATTAGAAAATAATCTTCGTATTGATCGGCCCAATAATTAATTAGTTCTACAAATTAATTAAAATACTAAGCCGAGTTTCGGGGCGTTACAGTGATTTTCGCTAGTGCATACGCGCGGTGTATGCCATAGGCAAGACTGCGTTATAAATCCCTCATAATTTTAAGTCTATGCCACCCCGACGCCCCGTCACTCGTCAAACCCAATTTAGATCGGTAACGGACTCACCCATGTGAGACGCCCGGTTTACGTTGGTTAGGCGCGAAACCCGTAACTAGGGTACTGACTCGCCCCGGGTTAGTCTTAACTAAGTCTTGGTCATAAGGATGAGAGACTTAGGGCACTGCGGTAGGATCAATAAATAAAATCACATCATCCAACCAGAGTTGTAAATTGTTACAATTGGAATTTATTCCTACCAGAAATAATTTAACTGTAGGGCAAGATGCAAAGCACAACTATAGTTAAATGAAATATGGATCTGGCCCAATTAACAATTTTATTTAAAAGAATCCACCGAACCAAGAGTTGTAATAACGATTGCAATTGGAATGAATTCCTACCTAAATAATTTAACTGTAGGGCAAGATGCAAAGCACAACTATAGTTAAAT